GGGGATACATATAATTTTTCCAATAAGAAAATCACTAGTTTTTTACCCTGGCCATGGCTCATCATTTCATTTTGTCTGGGATGTCTTCAGAAAAAGTGGACATTTTAGCTTTCATCATATAAAATTCATTAATGTATTTCTGACAGATAGTGTTTTATTTTAGTATTTAAAAAACATTGTCTTAATTTTATGCCTAAATTAGATTTTTTTTGTGTTTTTTCTGTGAGCTCATAATTTCAAATTATGCATTTATGTCAATGCCTATCATTCTGTTTTAATTTTAATACAGTAATAAAATATCATAGAAAAGAGAATCTGAGGGAATAGAAAGTTATTTTAGCTCAAAACACCAAATGCCAGGTTGTACTCAATCACAGTAAGGAAGTCAAGGCAGCAGTAACTTAAAATAGCTAGTTATCTACATCATACCACAACTAAGAGCAAGGAAAAATGAATGCACACTTTCTTTATGCTTATCAAACCTGGACCCAAAACCTGGGTATGGTGCTGTCCGCCTCTAGGCTGGGAATGGCTTAAGCTGCAGAAATTTGTGATCTCAGAGTTCTGAAGACTCAAGATCAATATGCCAGTACAATATGTTCTTACTTAGCTGTGTCTTTAGATGATGAGAAAAATTAAGAGTGAACAGGGTCTCTGGAGCCTCTTCTGTTTTATTTTTAATATTTAAGACTTATCTTTAGTTATGTGTCTCTGTATGGTCATGTGAGATAATAGAAGTGCCAGATCCCTGTGTAGCTGTAGACTCAGGCAGTTGTGAGTCATCTGACATAGATCCTGGAGATTGAACTTGGATCTTTTAGAAAATCAGAGAAATGTTTTTTAACTGCTTAGTCATCTCTTCAGCTCCTGTATCTGAATGAAGATGCAATTGTTATTCGGGCCTTATCTTCATGATTTTATCTTAACTTAAATATCTTCCAAAGGCTCTGCAATCACCATTATCTTGGGGGTGAGGGCTTTAACATAATTTTAGGAGTACATAGTGCCATCTGTAGCTGCAAGTTCATGTAGAGTTCATATTTCTTACTTGAGGGTGTGCAGTTAGACTAGGGTCAGTTTATATAATATGGCATGAAATTACCTGAAGTGTGTTTTCTATATCTTAAACATGTAAACACTATATTTTCATCGCTTTACAGTCTGATTTCACCATGGACAATACCAAAACATCAAAAAACTCATTTCGAAGAAACATACATCATATATCAATTAATTCTTATATATTTTGGTGGCTCTTGAATAACAGAGGCATTACTGACTCAATGTAATTCGCTGAGTGTCAGTTATAGTAAGGGCAGCCACTCAATATTTCCCTTAGATTTATTCTCAAATACTTTTTCTTTTTGCATATTTTCACAAATGAACCTAGTTTCTGGACTTAGGGTGGAGAAATCTAGCTTCTATTTCCAGAGCATTCATATTTGTCAGGTTTTTAAGGGCAAATGTTGTCCCAAGTATTGTGTTTGGCTTGTTTCCACCCAAATTTTCTGTGGCTTAGGCCAAAAGCGTAACCTAGTAGCGTCTAATTTCTTTGATAAGAATTTTTCAAGATGAGATAGAAGGTTCCTTCCTAAGATTAGACACAAGCTATACGTTTTCTGAGGAAGAGAAAAAAAAAAGAGTGATTTTGCTTATGTCAGTATTGTGGCAATACTATGTGTTTGAGGCTTTATGAGTACTACTTCACTCAGGTTTTAGATCTAGCACTGGACAAATGGTCCCGGCTAAATGAGTGAGAAATAAAGTAGTAATCAGAATTCAACTCTCTCTAATTCTCAAGAGTCATGGGAGCATGGGTATACACATGATGTTTCAGTACTTCAATATTTATTTTTATTTTTTCTCTTCTATTCTCTTTTCTTTTCTTTTCTTTTTGAGACAGGGTTTCTCTGTGTAGCTGTGTCTGTCCTGAACTAACTTTGTAGACCATGCTGGCCTCCAACTCACAGAGATCTGACTGCCTCTGACTCCCAGCATGCTGAGATTACAGGCATGTGCCACCATTCCAGGCTTAAAAATTCTTTTTTTAAGATGTTATTCTGGCAAATATTCAAAACAAAGCTAAAATGATAAGCCAACAATGCAATGAATAACTGAAGAATATGAAACTTGTATATTCTAATGTGTTTATGTATCCTCATGCATTTTAATATTACTAAAATAGTCAAGGTCATAGAAGTACAATTCATGTTTTCAAGAAAGCACTTTGGTTTAGGGTGTGAGGATTCTAATTTTAAAGCCTGTGTTGATCCCACTTATTCCTTTTAAAGGCTTTGGAGGAATAATAAATTGGTAAAAACTATAAAAATTATGAAAGTCAAACTAAAAATAGAAAATTGAAAAACATAATGTGAACACTGAATGAAATGATAAATTTGAATAATTAGTATGTGGACAGAATCACTATTACTTAACTTATTAACTCTATTAAAGGTAGGACCCAGAAGAACTAGAAAGGTTTGAATTAGGAAGGTAGGGATAGGGAAATGAAGAAAAAAACTCCAATAATGCCAATAAAAATTCCATAATTTTTTTTTTGAGAGAGCCTCAGTGTGTATGTGACTCTGGCTGGCCTGTGGGCCACTATCTTTTTAAAACTTTCATTCATTTTTTTAATTACAGTTTATTCACTTTATATTCCAGCATAGCCCCCTCCCTCATCCCCTTCGACTCCTACCATCCCTCCCTCATCTCTTCCTATGACCCTCCCCAAGTCCACTGATAGGGGAGGTCCTGCTCCCCTTCCATCTGATCCTAGCCTTTCAGGTCTCATCAGGACTTGCTGCACTATCTTTCTCTGTGGCCTGGTAAAGCTGCTCCTCCCCTTCGGGGTTGGGGGCAGTGAACAAAGAGCCAGTCACTGAATTCATGTCAGCTGCCATGGGCTACATCTGTGCAGTGGTTCTAGGTTATCTCCATGCATGGTCCTTGGTTGGAGTATCAGTCTCAGAAAAGACCCCTGTGCCCAGATATTTTGGTTCTGTTGCTCTCCTTGTGGAGCTCCTGTCCCCTCCAGATCTTTTTATCTCCCCTTTCTTTCAGAAGATCCCCTGAGCTCTGTCTAAAGTTTGGCTATGGGTCTCAGCATCTACTTTGATTCCCTGCTGGATAGTCTTTCAGAGGCCCTCTGTGGTAGGCTCCTGTCACTATCTTGAACTCAGAAATTCACCCACCTCTCAAGTGCTGGATTTGCAGGTGTGAATCGCTCTGCCCAGCTTATGTCTTTATGTGTTTATATGTGGATGCTCCTTTTCATACAAGTTCTTATGTTGCTCTCTCTCTCTCTCTCTCATGTGTGTCTGTATGTGTGCAGATGCTAAAAAATAATTGGACAGCTTTGCGTATTGTTCTCACGTCACTGCTCTCCTTTGAGAAGGGGTCTGTTACTGGCCCAGCCCACCACTTAGGTTAGACTTGGGGACCACTGATCCTCAGGTATCTTCATGTCTCTGCCTCTTTAGTACTTGGATTATGGGCACAGATAATGATACACAAGTTTTTTTGTTTGGTTTGCCTTTTTCATTTGTTTGTTGTTGTCTGTGTGTTTTGATTTTATTGTGTGTATCCTGGAAATGAAATCAGGTATTCATGCTTGTGAGTTACACATTTTATTAACTTATTTATCTCCCTATTGCCCCATAACATTGATTTTTTAAGTTTAGTAAATAATAATTACTTTAGATGAGTGAATATTTTAAAAACTATCATCTCTTTATACAATGTTATAATTTTAAAGTAGTGTACATGTCTAAAATGCTCTTTGTGTTGAAATTTCATTTTCAGTTATTATGCAAAATGTGATCACTATGGTCTTCTGAGTTTCTAGGCAGAAAGGAATAAATAGCTGAATGAGCTCAGAGTTACTAACACAAGATTAAAGACTCTTTACAGAAATCACCACAGGAAAGTGATATGTCTTTGGTATGAATATACACCATTCAGCGATTTTTGTTCTTAAAATCTAAGAGACATATGCCATGCTCATGATGAATGTTATTACAACTTAACTATACATGAATATTTAAATATTTTTCTTTCTGAATGAAGATTGGGCATCTTACCCAGGGCCCTCCTTCTTGCTTAGCTTCCTTAGGTGTACAGATTTCAGTATGATTATCTTATAGTATGTCTAATATCCACTTATAAGTGGATATATACCTCATGAAACTGAAAAGCTTCTGTAAAGCAAAGGACCCTGTCATCAGAACAAAACAACAGCCTACAGATTGGAAAAGAATCTTCACCAACCCTATATCTGACTATATAGGGCTAATATCCAGAATATGTAAAGAATTCCAGAAATTAAACAGCAACAAATCAAGTAAAACAATTAAAAATGGGGTACAAAGCTAAACAGAGAAATCTCTGTAGAGGAATATAGAATGGCAGAGAAACACTTAAAGAAATATTCAACATCCTTAGTCATTAGGGAAATGCAAATCAAGACAACCCTGAGATTCCACCTTACACACACCAAAATGGCTAAAATAAAAAACACAAGTGACAATACATGCTGGAGAAGATGTGGAGAAAGGGGAAACCCTCCTCCAATGCTGATGGGAATGTAAACTTGTACAACCACTTTGGAAATCATTTGCTCTTATTTAACTCACAAAAATAATGCTAGCTGGGCACATTTAATTGTATAGGAATATTACTGCATCAAAATGTGTCAAAATTAGTATTATTACATTTTAATACCTTAAATTATTAACATGCTTGATATACATGTATGAGACTAAACTTATTTTGATTAGAGTAATTAATGTAACAATATCATTAATGCCATTTTCAAATCACTAATAAGAAACTGAAGAGATCTGTACTTAATAAGTTTGATCTTTTATAAGGACAATGTTCTACCTGGCAGTGGCAGCTAGAGTTTCATTCACAGAACACCGTTACATGCCTGCTGCACCATTCCATGCCTGCTGCACTGTTACATGTCTGTTGCACTTCTGTCACGAATTGGAACTCACCTTCCTGACTCAAAGGTGAACCACGTTGAATCCCGACCGTATCTCCTCAGTGAGCTAAGCGGCCACATCACCAGCTTGACCTTGGCATTGTGGATATCCCAGAGATAGATATTCTCATGCGTGATCTGCATTGTGCATTCACCGTAAATATCCAGGTTGGGTGTAGGCATTAGATAAACATTGAATCGTTCTGCAAAGAAACGAAAGGCATGGAGAAAACTCAATGAAGTCTCCTCAATTGTTCCCTAATACTGATGTATACTGCCAAACACCACCTCTATTTTTTATGAAGAAAGATGTTCACTAAACTATCATCACTCACACATTCATTCTGTCATTGTACAAAACTGTATCGGATACATACTTGATATTGAGGATTGTATGATGGTTAAATTGTATCATTGGAACATTAGGTGAAAGGTAAGTGGAGTCTCTTTTTAAAAGATGTTTACTCTGTTTCTTCGCACAGACAATTCATTACTGTAGACAGAACTTTTTCAAGAATGTCTTTTTTTAGAAATACTGAAACAGTCTCATCTTCGGACTGAAGGTAAGGGTTCAATGCAAATCAGATGATTCTCTACCTACTTAAACACTACAAAATAATTCAATATGCGTGTAAAAACATTGTAGTCCTGGTCAGAGTTTGCCTAGATATTCATTACTATCTTGTACAAAACTTAAGACGTACCCTTGGCAAGCAAAATAAAACTATATAATTTCTTTTATTCTCTATATTTTACAGTCGAAATCCTGTTATTAATCAATGACTCTAAACCTTGCTGCTGTAATTTTCTGTGCATCTCCAAGGCTATGGCAAACTTCTGCAGCCTTTGATTCCCATTTAAATGCATAGAATGCACTTTATTTTAGAGAAAAGGGGTTTGTAAGTTCTAGAAAGCAAAGAACCTGTAAAGTTCTGTATAAAACAAGTGTGCTTCCCAGCACCATTTCCTTGATTTAAAGTAAGTGATCAATATATATCAACACATATGAATATAATTAATACTTAATGAATAGAGGATGTGAAAATTGAGTAATTATGAAAAATAACATCATGATAAGAAGTTCAAGAATTACTGGCAGAGAGCTCTCTGAACATTGCAAATTTAATTGTGTAGAGTGCTGAAGAGGCAATGTGGTTAAATTAATTATTTTGAAAGGCATAAAAATAAGGCAGCTGCAGCTAGAAGACACATTCTGGAATGTGTCGTTATCCATCATAAGGCCATGTTCTTAATGCTGATTGTTTGCTGGTGCTTGGTGGGAATTGTTTGGATAATAATCTTTTTCTGGCAAGTATTATACTAAGTAAGGATTCTGTGAGGCAATGAATAATCTTCAGATTCTAAGTGTGTTAAGTTAACTCGAGCATGAGAGCCACATGACCCACATTTATACTCAGTTCTAGATTTTTTAAAAATAGCGCTTCTTCAAGATCCAACTATACCATTCCTAGGCATATACCCAAAAGAGTCTCAAGTACACAATAAGGACATTTGCTCAACCATGTTTGCAGCAGCCTTATTTGTAATAGCCAGAAGCTGGAAACAGCCCAGATGCCCCTCAGTGGAGGAATGGATGCACAAATTGTGGTATATCTACACAATGGAATATTACTCAGCAATAAAAAACAAGGAAATCATGAAATTTGCACTTAAATGGTAGGATCTGGAAAAGATCATCCTGAGTGAGCTATCCCAGAAGCAGAAAGATGCACATGGTATATACTCATTCATATAGACATATAATATAGGATAAACCTACTAAAATCTGTACACCTAAAGAAACTAATCAAGAGGGAGGACTCTTGCTAAAATGCACAATTCCTATCCAGAAAGGCAAAGAGGCTGGACATCAGAAGAAGGAGAAAAGAGGGAACAAGTCAGGAGCCTGACACAGAGGACCTCTGACTATCAATGTAGATGCTGAGACTTATGGGCAACCTTTGGGCAGAGTGCAAGGAATCTTAGGAAAGAAGTGGGAAACAGTAAGATCTGGAGAGGACAGGAACTCCACAAGGAGAGCAACAGAATCAAAAAATCTGAGCACAGGGGTCTTTCCTGAGACTGATGATACTCCAACCAAGGACTATGTACGGAGATAACCTAAGACCCCTGCCCAGATGTAGCCCATGGCAGTTCAGTATCCAAGTGGGTTCCATTGTAACAGGACTATCAAATTAAATGTGCTTTTTCTCAAAACTATAAAATCCCACAACTATCATCCATATATCTATATTTTGATGAAATTCAGGGTTATATGTTAGCTGGTATAGAAATACACAATTTTATTTGAAATGTCCAAATAATAAACAAAATTGAATGTTTATTAAAGTTTGTCTAACAAAGATATGTAATAGAACCTAATCTTCAAGTATGCTTGCCTGAGTGTTTCGCATAAGAACTAAAACAAGAGATCAAACAAAAAGCAAATAAACAGCAAAACAAACCAACACAACAAAACAAACAAACAAACTAAACTAAGCCATCTCCATCATGTTTTATAATAGGAGTAAGGGTACAACTTTAGTAACAGTCCAGTAGGTATTACAAAGTGGATTTGATCAGATGATAGTAGTTATAAGCAAAAAAAACATGATCACATAGAAGGATTCCAGTCACACTATGCAACAGAATGAGTCATTGGTTCACAGAAGGGATGAAGCCCTCTTCACTGAGCTGGTTAGTTTTTAAACAGATCTAGCTGGGGAAGAAAGTAACTAACCCATGTATATGTGTTTATTTAACCATGGGGGCAGTAAACCGAAGTGGAGTTTTCAGCTGCAGAAGCAAAAAATCAGAGACACCATCTACTGAGAAACAAAAAAGCAGAATCGAGGGAGATTATTTAGTCCTCTTTTAATAGTGCTGTTTTTAGCTCTGTTGGTCTCCTTGTAAAGCTCCTGTCCCCTCCAGGTCTTTCTTCTCCCTCTTCTTCCATAAGGTTTTCAGCACTCTGCCCAAAGTTTGGCTATGAGTCTCAGTATCTCATTTGATACCCTGCTGGGTAGAATCTTTCAGAGTTGCTCTGTGGAAGGCTCCTGTCCTCTCTACTTCTGATGTCTATCCTGTTTGCCCTTCTGGATGAGGCTTAAGCATCATTCTTAGGGTCTTCTTGTTGTTTAGCTTCTTTAGGACTATAGATTTTAGTATATTTATCTTATATTATAGGCCTGCAAATATGGATACTCCAACCAAGGACCTTGCATGAAGAGGACCTAATTCCCTGTTTAGAGGAAGCCCATATGCCTCTCAGTCTCCAAGTGGTTTTCCCTAGTAAGGGGTACAGGGGCTGTCTCTGATATGAACTCAGTAGCAGGCTGAGATTGCCTCCTCCTGGGTAATGCAGCCTTGCCAGGCCGCAAGGGAATGTGATGCAGCCAGCCTTGATGAGACCTGATAGACTAGGGTCAGATAGAAGCGGAGGAGGATCTTGAGGAGGATCTCCTCTATCAGGGGAGTAAGGAAAGAGCATAGTGGGAGTAGAAGAAGGGTGGGTGAGATTGGGAGGAGATGAGGGAGGGGGCTGCAGTGGGGATAAAAAGTGAATAAATTGTAATAAATAAATTACAAAAATAAAAATAATACTGTTTTTATTATTATTGATCACCCTAATCAAAAATACATACCATGTCAAATAATAAAATTCCACATACTTCATTACTTTTAACTAATACTTCATTAATTTTTGAAAATTTCACGCAAAGTTTTTTTTAACCATACTCAACCCAATTTTCCCTCTTTGAAGGTCCTCTCAGATCCACCTTCATGTCCCTATAGCCCTTACTTTATAAATATCTGTTTAATAAACCATTAATTATAATTTGTGCTATCTCTATACTTCTTGGTGTGGAGCCATCTACTGGAGTGTTGTTGACTCGCATGAGTCCCACTTTTAAGAAAACCGACTCTCCCTTCCACCTCTGTTACTGGGCTTATGAACCCTTTTTTCCTCTATGCTAAAGTGTTACTTGATCTGATCTTTTGCAATTCTTGTACAGACAACCAAGCTGACGTGATCTCATGCGTATAGTGTCTCTCTCTTGTTCCCAAGGTGTTTGTTTCAGTCATTCCAAACATCTAGCTCTGTCAGTCTCTGAGACTTGGACGGGGTGTGATACAGCTGCTCCATTTGTGGCTATGTACCACACAGTCATGCATTCACTTTTATTTCGCTGGTTATCAGTTTCTACATAAACCACCACCTACTGCACAAAGGAACTTCTTTGATGAGGTCGGAGAGCTGTCCTACAGCAGAGAAATGCAAAGTTAGAGGGCAGTTTGATACCATGTTCAAAGACATTGCTGTTTCCCTTCCACCTCTTTCCCTTCCTATGGTAGCGTGATAATTTCTTCTTCTTTTTTTAAGAGATACAAAACACAGAAAAAAGTAACAGGAAAATAGACACATCTATTTAGTCAAATTTATTTTGTAATAAATGGTATTTTGGAAAAGACACGTTTGAAATTTTTATATAAATTTCATGCACTTAGCATGTAACTAAGTCTACTGCCTTTGTGATGTGATGGCAGTACCATTAGTTTGACTTGCTAGAATAAGTTTGAGAAATGTTTGTTGGGTGCCAATATATTCTCTTTGTGAAACAGTATTTCTTTCATTAGTGGATTATTGGTAACTTTTATCTAGTCTATCTTGTTTCTCCCTCTGCCTACGATGTGGTACACCTGGATATGATGAAATCCAGAGCTAAGTATCCTGCATGTCTAGAAGCCAAGAGAGGTATACATATTAAAGCTCATCACATCTTCCACAAAGATTTTTATTCATTGAACTCCTTATATTGTTTTATCTCTTCCTAGTATAACTGAAATAGTGCTCAGAAATATAAGTCCCACCAAAATAAAGCATACTTTAGATTTTAGGTTTTGAGAAATTCTTTGCATTAAGTTTTACCTGTTGTTTTTATTCTGCCCATTTCTGTGAATTTCGGTTTCATGGCTTCCCACAACAAAAAGTAGAACCCTCATTTACATTTTAGATATTTATATTTTGTTAATAAATTAATAAAAATTAAGAATTGTACACATTTACATAAACTAGTAATGAAATGACTAATTATGACTATGCAACCATAAATGTTGCATAGTCAACACTGATGTTGATGTTTTTTAATTTTGCATGTTTTTTATTTTAATTTGTGATTATATAAAGTAAAATTGCATTTGT